ATCATTACTAAATCTGATGATTATTTTCACTGTTTTTGGCCTAAATGTCAATTCAAGACCAAAAATAAACAAAATTTAACATTACATCAAATAATTCACTCAGAAATAAAACAATTTAAATGTCATTTTAATAATTGTAATAAAAGTTATAAACGAAAATTTCTTTTAATTCAACACAAAAATATCATTCATTTAAACGTGAGATTTATTTGTGATTTTAATAAATGTCACAAAAGTTTTACCACAAAACAATGTTTAAATTATCACAAAAGTACGAGTCATTCAATTGTTGACAATAATCAAACTTATTTTTGCTGTTTTTGGCCTAAATGTCAATACAAGACAAAGCATAAACAAAATTTTGCTTTACATCAATTAATTCATTCAGAAATAAAACAATTTAAATGTGATTTCAATAATTGTAATAATAGTTATAAATTAAAACATCAACTAAATCGCCACATAACTAATAGTTAGGGCAACCGTTTGGAAGCGTTTTGGAAGCGATTTTGGTTGTTTTCATAGATATTAAAGTGTAATGCAAAATATGTTTGCTTACAAATAGGTCTGTTAGCGTTACCCAAGAGACACCGAACACGGAGGTAGACCTTTGTCTCTCACTATTTGTTTCCGCGGTTTGGTTCCGCCCGTCTCAGGTTTACAGTCCTAGAGGTGCCGACTATCTATTATTCATAAGATTCAAATTATACAAACAATAAAAAGATCTTATACAGTTCTCATCAGTAAAACTCTTCCTGTTATATCTAAAGAATGCTCTGTACTGAGAGAAAGACCTTTCGACATCACAAGTTGTCACCGGAGCTGTTTTAAATAAAGTTGTGTCAAATGGAAAAGAATTAGTTTTCTGTTTTAAATTAATTTCATTAATTAATTTCAATTGTTTATAACCGGGAATAGAATCTAATATATTGATTAGGCGATGATATGAGAAGTCATTATATACTTTAAACTCTGCGATAAGCTCTTCCATTGAACTTAAACTATCCGAAAGAGTTAAACCTGTTTTTTCATATTTCTTAATTAAGGAATTCATATTTGAAAATTGAGTTGTGATTTTTATTAATTGTAATTTTAATTCAACAGATTGATTATTAATGATTTCAATTGTATTGTCGAGAGCTATTGACTTAGACTTAAAGGATTTAAAAACAGGTTTAACTAAATCAAAATTATTGGCATAATATTCGACGGCGTTATAAAAAGACCCCCAACGAGTCGGAACAGGCTGTGGAGGCAAATTAATGAGTGGAAGCATTGTTTTAAATATGCGTTTGTTGTCGTAATTTTTAGTGAAACACTTTTTGCTATTTGAAATGAATTTATTAACTAAAGAGTAATTGTCTCTTACGGTTTCAGTCACATTATGGAGAACGTGGTTAAGACAAGTCATGTGAATGACATTAGGAAATGCTATCTTAAAGTCATTTCTCGTCGCATTACTTGTCATATAACTTGCTCTATCTGTAAGAATAAGGAGAACATGTTTTGAAATTTTATATGTTTGTGTGCAATAATGCATGAAAGCATCAGTTATTGCATCGGTAACTGTTTCTGAATTAACGTCTGTTAAATATTCAGAACCCAACAAATAATGTTCATTTGTTTCACTTTCAAGTAATCCAACAATGATGTTAATTAAATGCCTTCCACTGGAATCAGTTGTTTCATCGGCTTGAATCCAAAGAGCCTTCTTTGAAATCCGTTCTTTAATTTTGCATTTAATTTCTGATTCAATCTTTTTAGTGCAAGATCTCAATTTGGTCTCACACGGTTGTTGTCGATTTGTATATTTTTCTAAAAAAGACACCAACTTTTTATTACGAATTTTGTAGAGAGGCACATCAATTGCTAATAAAACTTCAGCCAAATCATGACAATATTCGTCATTATCTAATTTGGGAATTTTATTTGGTGGCAATTGTGCTTTGGATTGCAGTTCTAAATTATTTAAATGTGTTTCGCATTTTAAATGTTTGTCAACTCTTGATTTAATAGCTGAGAGTGGTTGGGCACACACATCACACCAAAGTGTTTCATCATTTTTGACTAACGGATAGCCAATTTCTAACAAACGTTTATTAATTAAATTTGAATCACTATAAGTTTCGATTCGTGTGTCTGTTATTGGGTTTGGTTGATCCATAGTATTGATTGGAACGGTAACTGCTGGAATCATACAGTCAGACCGCCTCACTAGCTGACAAGACCTCGCAGGGCGTGAGCACCCGGCAATGGAGAGAACACCCCGGCTTGGACGGGTTTCCACCCGCCATTAACGTAAAGACTTAAGAGCTTATGGAGAGAACACTCCCCGGCTTGGACGGGTTTCTCACCCGCCAAATTTTGAAAATTAGAGGCCATTTTGTTCACAACGTGTTGTGTTTAAAATGAAAGCACAGTGTGTTGTGTTTGTATGCGTTCACATGCGCTCTAACTGTGTTTGTTATGAACGCAACACAAATGACGTTATACTATAATATATAGTTTTAAAAAATCCGCGGTTGCTCTACTAATAGTCATTTAAATGTGAGATTTGTTTGTGATTTCAAAGAATGTCACAAAAGTTTTACATCAAAATCTATCTTATTTCATCACAAAAGTTGTGTTCATTTGAATGAAAGGAAATTCAAATGTAATGAAGAAAATTGTGGCAAAAAATTCAAACGAAAATATAACTTAATTCAACACAAACTCTTACATTCGGGAGAAAAACAATTTGTTTGTCATTTAAATGATTGTAACAAAAGTTTTGCCCAAATATGGACTTTAAAGTATCACAAGAGACGATACCATCAATTAAATTAATAACTAAATAAATTTAAATGAAATGTTTTAAGTAACATTTCTTTAATCGTACCATGTTTAATTTATAATTATAAACATTTAATTAAAATATCTAATAAATTGTACGCAAAATAAATTTAAAAAACAATTTTTTATTTAAATTTCTTTTTTATGTCATATATTTTACGTAATAAACAATTAATTTAAAACTTTTTTAATCAAAATGTATTTTTTATAAAATATTTTTGCAAACTTTTTTTGGGAGTATTTTTATAATAATTTTTTTTATTCAATATAAATATATATAATTTTTCACACAATTATTAATTAATTATAATATAAAGCGATTCAAAAACTAATTATAAGGACTATTATTATAATATGAATTAAAAACGAGAGAAAAACAATTTAATAATTATTATTATAGATATTATTATTAATTTATCGATAAAAACATTAATTCAAAAAAATAATTCGTCGAAAAAA